CTTACCCTTACCCATTCATTCTTAGTAGACACGAAGGTGAGGTTTGACCCTACTACTACTACTACTACTACTACTACAACGGCTACTACTACTACTACTACTACTACTACTACTACTACTACTACGACTACTACTACTACTACGACTACTACTACTACTACTAATACTACTATTACTACTACTACGACTACTACTACTACTACTACAATTGCTGCTACCATTACTACTGCTACTACGACTACTGCTATTATTTCTACTACTACGACTACTGGTACTACTACTGCTACTACTACTACTACCACTACTACTACTACTACTACTACTACTACGACTACTACTACTACTACTATTACTATTACCACTACTACTACTACTACTACTACTACTACTACTACTGCTACTACTACGATACTGCTACTACTACTCCTACTACTATACAAATACTAGACTACAACTACTACTACTACTATTCTACTACTACTACCGACTACTACGACTCTGCTACTACTACTACTACTACTACTACTACTACTACTACTACTACTACTACTACTACTACTACTACTACTACTACTACTACTACTACTACTACTACTACTACTACTACTACTACTACTACTACTACTACTACTAGTACTACTACTACTACTACTACTACTACTACTACTATTACTACTACTACTACAACTACTACCACTACCACTACTACTATTACTACTACTACTACTACTACTACTACTACTACTACTACTACGACTACGACTACGACTACGACTACGACTACGACTACTACTTATTATTACTACTACTACTACTACTACTACTACTACTATTACTACTACTACTACTACTACTACTACTACTACTACTACTACTAGTACTACTACGATTTCTCCCCATTGCGCTCCTCCTCTCCCTCCCCCATTACGCTCCTCCCCTCTTCATCTCTCCCTCACCCTTCTCCTCGTCTCCTTCCCCCTCTCCTCCTCCTCCATCTTCTCCCTCTCTCCCCCTCCCGCTGCCCAGGTCATGCCGACGACGGCCCTCTCCTCGTCCTCCATCCTCTCCCTCTCTCCCCATCACGCCGACGACGACGACGACGGACCACGACAACGACGACAACGATGACGACAACGAAGACGACGCCGTCGCCAACACCGAAGCCGAAGCCGACGCCGACGACGACGGACGAGGACGAGGACGAGGACGAGGACAAGGACGACGACGGACCACGAAGACGGCGACGACGACGGACGACGACAACGACAACGACGACGCCGACGCAGATAATGCTGACGATGACGACGATGGAAGAGGACGACGACGAGGAGGAGGACGACGACAACGAATACCTCGACAACGACGCCGACGACGACGACGACGATACTGACGACGACGACGATGAACGACGCTGACTATCGGCGCAGGCCGGTCCTTGGTGGCCTTGATCTCTCCGGGGTCCTTGCAGACGACGGGCCGGAGGATCTGCTCCGCCTCGCCCCCGGGAGGGATGGGGTTAGCACGGCGGTGGGTCGGCGTCGTCGGGGTCGGGGTGCCCCCCTCCCCGGTTCTAGGCTCTGGGCCCGACCCGAGCATCGGCACGATCCGCGGGAGAGAAGGCCGGGGAGGGAGGGGAGGCAGGAAGGGGAGGGGAGTGAAAGGGAGGAGATGGAGGAGGGGGAGGAGGAGTAGGAGGAGGAGGAGGAGGAGGAGGAGGACGACGAGGAGGAGGAGGGGAGGAGGAGGAGAGAGTTGGAGGAAGCAGGAGGAGGAGAGGAGGAGAGGACTGGAGGAAGGTAGGAGGAGAAGGAGAGGAGGAGGAGTGGAGGAAAGTATGAGGAGAGGAGGGAAGGGGATGGGAGGCAGGAGGGAGGCAACGGTGGCGCGCGGAGGACGGACAAGGGGGGGGAGGACAGGACCAGCAAATCAGGAGGGGCAAGGGGGGGCGGAGGGACGGCCAACCTCGATCTGCCCTCCCCTCCCCCGTCCCCCTCCTGATGGTCCGCCCCTCTTCCCCTCGTCCGCCTCCCTCGCGCCCCTCCTGCCCTGGAGCGAGCAGTAGTGGAACGAGCAGCAGTGGAACGAGCAGCAGTGGAGGGCATGGCACGGGCACGGGGATGAGCTTGGAACGAGCATATCAGGGAGGAGGGTCTCCCGGTGGCCCCGGGGAGGGCGGCGACGGAGGCAGGACAGGGCAGGAGGAGCAGGAGGAGCAGGAGGGCAGAAGCGAAGGGGTGTGAGGACGGAGGGGGTGGGGGAGGGGGGGGGGGGATGGATGAGAAGTACACATGAAGGGGGGTGGGGCGAGAAGACGAGCAGGACGGGGGTAATCGGGGGGGGGGCCGAGGAGACGAGGACGGACGAGGAGGACGGGGGGGGGGAGGAGGAGGAGGATGAGAGGAGGAGGAGGAGGAGGAGGAGGAGGAGGAGAGGAGAGGAGGAGGAGGATGAGGAGGAGGAGAAAAGGAGAGGAGGAGGGAGGGAGGGGAGGAGGAGAGGAGGAGGAGGAGGAGGAAGGAGGAGGAGGAGGAGGTAGGAGGAGGAGGAGAGGGAGGAGGAAGGGGGAGGAACGCGAAGAGGAGGAGCAGCATCAGAGGCAGCAGCTAGCAGGGCAATCAGGAGGGGGGGAGCAGCAGAACGAGCGAGGAGGCGCGGGAGGAGGGAAGGAAGCAGGGAGACAGACAGGCAGGTATTCATCCGCGCATATCTATATATACATATATTTAGAGAGAGAGGAAACAAAAACAATACAAGAGAAACAAACAAAGAGCGGGAGAGAAAGGAACGATGACGAGAGAGGGATAGGCAGAAAAAGAGAGATAGATCTGGAGTGAGGGAGGGGAACAAAGAGGCACACACAGATGTGCATAGAGAGAAGGAGAGAAAGAGAGAGAGAGAGAGAGAGAAAAAAAAACAAAACAACAAAACGAGAGAGAGAGAGAGAGATACAGGGCGAGATACGGGGAGGGAGGGACGGAGCGAGAAAATGCCGGGCAACCTTGAACGGGTCGCCCCTGTAGTACATCTTGATGAGCTCCAGGTTCATGTGCGCGTCGGCCTGCGACAGGGGCGGGATCAGCTCGCCGGCGAGGTCCTGGGCCCGCTGGTGGCCGACCATCCAGGGCGGGGGCCAGGGACCAGTGAGGGAGCAGCTGAAGAGGCCCTCCTCCTCCTCCTCCTCCTCCTCCTCCTCGTCCTCCTTGTCCTCCTCCTCCTCCTCCTCCTCCTCCTCCTGCACCTCCTCCTCCTCCTCCTCCTCCTCCTCCTCCCCCCCCCCTCCCTCCCTCCCTCCCTCCCTCCTCTTCCTCCCTCCCTTCCTCCTCCTCCCTCCCTTCCAAGAAAGCACTCACAGCTGATGGGGCTCAGCCAGCTGGCGAGGTTCTCGGCACCCACAGCAGTTATGAGGCAGCTGCTGAGCGGCCTTCGCGAAGCCCACAGACCAGCTCCTCGAAGCCCGATAGTTATGGAGGCCAGTGTGCAGGATTTGCCCGGACTGAACCCAAGATTAAACCCGATTGAGAAGCATTACGCCAGGTGAGACACGATTCTGCAAGATTGGGCTTGCCTTCGACAATGGATTTGCCAACGTCGATGCTACATCTAACCTCCCAAGGGTTGCATCCAGACAATCCCTTGCCTCTTTGCCATGTGGGCTGTTTCTGTTGGCCCCGTTACTCTCGACCACTTCGTGCGCCACATCGCCGCTGCTAAAAAACCCTGGTGGCCTCGACGACCTCAACGGAGGTCCCCAGCGTACTCCGGATGTGTTCAAATCTTGCCACCGTCCCAACAGTCTGTTGGGACGACGGCCCGTTGGGACGACGGCAGCCTGAGCACAAACCCGAATGAGAATACCAGGATGAGGGGCCGAACGCTATTACACTATCCCTGGGTCCTGGGTGTGGGTGATGTGGGATCCCGCAGCCTGGATGCTGCGTTTTCCTTCAAGGAGAAAGTCAAGTTGATCCCCCCCTTCGGTGCACATTGTGACCGTTGCATTGAAGCTCTTCCGGGCGCTCGCACCCTGGCTCTACTACGGGAAATCTTGAGGTTCAGACTGCTTTGCTGCCCCCGGCTTACAGCAACAGCAAGAAAAGCTCCCGCCGGATACTTCCCCACAGTGTATCTTAAAGTCTGGCTGCCGCAGGCAAGCTCTTTGCTACATAAATATATGGATACATATATATATATATGTATATATATATATATATATATAGAACCACGCGCGCGCTTCGCGCGCGCTTAGGTTCTAGCTAGGAGGCGAGCTTGAGTCAACGAAAGTCGCAGGGAAGGGGGCAGGGGGAAGAAGGCCAGAGAGCGCTGAAGGATACAAATACTGGAACCCTCTTGTGATTTTGTGGGGGGCCTCGTCCGGCCGCTCGCTGGGAGTTTGACGTAGCTTCTCGGGAGCCTCTGAACCTGTCGGGGGCCTCCTGGAAGCAGGTTCGAAGCATTTTGGGGCCGATTTGGGGCTTCTCGGGGCCTCCTTTGGGCCTCTTGGGGGTCTCCTGGGGCCTCTTGAGGGGCCTCCTTGGGGCCTCCTGGCGGCCTCTTGGGGCGGAAGGCTCGAGCTTGCGGTTCGTGGTCCCCCTCTGGGCCCCCTCTTGGGCCCGTCTTGGGGCCCTCTTGGGCCATCTTGGGCGCCTCTTGGGCCGTCTTGGGGCCCTCTTGGGCTGTCCTGGGGCCCTCTTGGAAGCTTCTTGGGCCGTCTTGGGGCGGTCTTGGAGGCCTCTTGGGCCGTCTTGGACGCGGTGAAAACCCAAGATGTGAACATGCGAAAAATATACATTTTCCCATAGGAATGGCACGATTTTTGTTTCTTGGACCTCTCTTGGGGTGCCTCTCGGAACGTCTTGGGCTGATTTTGGAAGCCTTTTGGCGCCTCTGGGCGGCGTTTTGGCGCCTCCTGGGATATGTTGGGCCGGAAGCTCGGAATTCGAGAGTGGCTTTCTCCTTCTGGGACCCCTCTCGAAGTCGTCTTGGGGTTCTCTTGGGCCGTCTTGGGCCGTCCTGAGCCACTCGTGCGCAGCCTTGGAGCGCTCCCGGAGGCCTCCTAGGCCGTCTTGGAGGCCTCTTGGGCCGTCTTGGACGCGGTGAAAGCCCAAGATGCGAACATGCGAAAAATATACGTTTTCCCATAGGAATGGCACGATTTTTGTTTCTTGGACCTCTCTTGGGGTGCCTCTCGGAACGTCTTGGGGTGCTTTTGGGAGCCTTTTGGCGCCTCTTGGCGGCATTTTGGCGCCTCCTGGAGCCTCTTGGGCCGGAAGCTCGGAATTCGAGGTTGGCTTTCTCCGTCTGGGACCCCTCTCGAACTCGTCTTGGGGCTCTCTTCGGCCGTCTTGGGGCCGTCCTGGGCCACTCGTGCGCAGCCTTGGAGCGCTCCCGGAGGCCTCGTAGACCGTCTTGGGCGCCTCTTGGGCCGTCTTGGACGCGGTGAAAGCCCAAGAGGCGAACATGCGAAAAATATACGTTTTCCCATAGGAATGGCACGATTTTTGCTTCTTGGGCCTCTCTTGGGCTGCCTCTCGGAGCGTCTTGGAGGCTTCTGGGACCTTCTTGGTGTCATGACAGGCGTCTTGGAAGGCATCTGGAGCCATCGGAGCGCGTTCCGAAGCCGCCTGCGAACGATCTTGGACGGCGTCCGGCGGTCCGACGAGCCTCCGGGCCGGGCCCCCCGGGGCGCACATTTGTGGTCGAGGTCCCGGCCCCGGGCCCCCGGACCCGGTGCGCCGTTATATGTATATATATATATATATATATAGATATAGATATATTTATGTATGCATGTATGTGCACATATATAAAATCGAATATCGCGTTCTCTCCTGAGACGCCCTTACGCTTAATTCACGAGTTGCTCTCTCGGCGCTGTGGGATCGCGCTCTCGCTCGGCACGCCCCCATGCTTTACACACGAGCCGCGCTGTCGCCCGAGACTCCTTGGACACCCCCTCTACCTGATCCCTCTTGCTCATACCTCTCGCTCTCCATCTTCTCCATCCCTCCCGCTTGCCTTCTTCAACTCCTCGAACCCTTCCTCCACTCACTTCCTTTTCGCCCTTTCCATCCTCGAACCAGCGAACCACCCGCGACCCACCCACGGTGCTCTGATGATGAAAGTCAGCGCCTCCGGCGGGCTGCTTCAGAGCCTCGCGGCCTTCCGACGACCCAGCCGCCCTCCTCACTCTTGATATCCGCCGTTGCGCGCTGCTACGTGTACTGCCTCTACGAGAGAGCGCGGCGGTCTGGAGGACGTACCGGTCGCCGTGGCCGATCCAGAGCGTCTGCGAGCGCTCCGACATCGCTGAGCAGTTCATCCGCATCCTTGGCCCACCGGAGGCCCCCTGAAGCCCCCAGAGGTCTCCCAAAGAGGCGCTGGAAGGGCGACGGCCCAAACGACTCGACCCTCTTGGGCGCACGCTGCCATGGACTAGGGGCCCGTGTCGGGCAAGGTACTTCCCGACACATTGAACCAGAGCCGTCTGACGTGGCGCTGAGCGCGCCGACTTCGCACAACGACGGGACCCGTCGCTCATCCACGCGCCGTAATCCCTGTTGCTGCTTCCTTGAACCTCGAACCTCGAACCTCGAGCGTTTGCCTGGCGCCTGGTCGTTCCTGCACCCCCCTCGTGCAGCTCTCGTAGAGGCCTCCCAACTTGAACTTTCAAATTGGATCCGAATACATGTCGTCGGGGAATCGCGCGGCATCGCCAATGCATCGCTGACGCATCGCCGATGCATCGGAAATTCATCGACGACGTCTGCGGTGCATCGGCGACGCTGGCATGGAGAAAGTCGGGCTCAATTCATCGGCGATGCGGCGCGATCCACCGACCACATCTACTCGGACCTAAATGGGGAGGCCTAGCTCTTGGGGTGGCCACCCGGCCGCCGGTCCTTCATCAGGCTCTGGCTCTCGTGGTAGCTCCTGGCAACCGAGGGGCCAACCTCCTCGGACATGGCCAGGGGGTTCGGCCCCATGGTGGTGAACAGAGTGTCGAGGCCTCGGCGTTGCGAACACCGGGGGCTCACACGCACGCCCCCACGCACGCACGCACGCGCACACACTTCCTGGCGTTCCCGCCAAGCGCGCAGCGATGCGGCGGAGTCTGTCATAGGAGAGGGGATGAACGCGCGCGCGCGCACTCTTTCACCCACACACACAGACATACACACACCCGAACACACCCACACACACACACACTCACACTCTCACACTTTCACATACACGCACACAGCTGGCGCGCTGACAGGAGAAACGCCGAATGAGGAACGAAGGGAACCTTCATGGCCACGGCAGATCCCGGCCATCGATATTCTGGCCGACCCAAAACTAAGGAACGGCCCAGAAATGGAGGCCCAGACTGTGTGGTCATCATGGGAATGGGGGGGCGCCTTGTGAAAGTTCCCCGGGCCCTCTTGGAAGGGCGCCAACCCCCCGCCCCTGCCCCCGACCAACCTCCGCTCGAGACCAGTCCCGCGGTACAGTGAGAATTGAGCATTGTTTGGCCGATCCCCATCCCCACTGGCATGGCCTCCGCCCCCCCCCCCGCCCCCCTATGCTAATCACCCCCCCCAGCCGCCCGTTGGATGGGTATGGGTAGGCCAATGTGGAAGAGAATAGGTTATGCAATGCCAAGGGACACATCAACCTGACCCGGGGGCGCTCCCACGCCAGGGGTGGTCCTCGCAAAGCCAAAGGGGGAAGCAGACTACCAGGGACGCCAGTCCAGACAGGGCTGAACACAACGCGAGCGTCAGAGCCGTACGCAGACAGGCACTACCGAGATACAGCTTCCTCATCTCGGACGTTGGCCACGGCATTTTCCTCCTCTTGCTCCAGCAGGTCCTCCTCCTCCACTTCAACTCTGCCTCCTCCACAGTGTTCCTATTCCTCCCCAACTTCCTCCTCCACTTCCCCCCCCTCCTCCTACTCCTCCCTCCCTCTAAAACAACGGCGTAAACATATATGTTTGGCGCTCCAAACGGATTTTCTTGAATCCGCGCTGGGCCCCCCTCCGTGGCGCGCGGAGCGCGCCAGGGGCGGCGCCGGAGGCGCCGCCAGGGGGACCCCAGCACGGATCCAAGAAACCCGCACGGAGCGCCAAAAGTGTACGCTTATGGCGTTTGTTTGTTCGTTTTCGATTCTTCTCCGCCTGCTCCACAGTGTTCCTGTTCCTCGCCTGCTTTCTCCTCCACTTCCTCCCCATCCTCTTGCTCCTCCCTTCCCAGGCCCCCGAGAGGTCTCGACTCATTCCCTGGAGACCGTTTCTCATCCTGAGTCGTTTTTGTCACGGCCCCGAGGCCGGGTAAGGGCCCCCGGAGGCCGAAAATGGCGAAACAACTCCTCCCGCCGTGTTTAGCTTCACGACTCCAGGAGGTCTGGATCCCTCCCGCCTTGCCTCCCCTCCTCCGCCCCGCCGTTTCCAAACGGGGGGGCTTCTCTCTGTGCGGGGAGCGGTCTATAGAGGCCTCCTAGATGTGGTCGGAGGATCGCGCCGGATCGCCAATACATCGGCGATGCATCGCCGATGCGCTGGCGGCGTCGGCGATGCATCGGCGACGTCGGCATGAAGAAAATCGGGCCCCGCATCGAGCCACATCGCTGATGCATCGGCGATGTGGCGCGATTCTCCGACCCCATCTGCTCGGACCCCATCTAGGGGGCCAAGACTCTCTCTGCGCGGGGAACGGTGTAGGGCCGAGGCTGTCCCACTCGCGGTAACCGTTGACCACCTGGATGTGGGGGCTCTTCTCGTGGCTGTGCGGGTCGGCCTGCGCTCTTCCAGCAGGGGGGAGGAGGGAGGAGGAGGTCCGGGCGTACGTCCGTCGTCGTCGTCGTCCTCCTCCTCTTCCTCCGCCTCTTCCTGCTCCTCCTCCTCTTCCTCCTCGTCCTCCTGCTCCTCCTCGTCCTTCTCCGCCTCCTCCTCCTCCTTTTCCTCGGCCTCCTCCTGCTCCTCCTCCTCCTGCTCCTCCTCCTGCTCCTGCTCCTGCTCCTGCTCCTGCTCCTGCTCCTGCTCCTGCTGCTCCTCCTCCTCCTCCTCCTCCTTCTCCTCGGCCTCCTTCTGCTCCTCCTCCTCCTGCTCCTCCTCCTGCTCCTGCTCCTGCTCCTGCTCCTGCTTCCTGCTCCTGCTCCTGCTCCTGCTCCTGCTGCTCCTCCTCCTCCTCCTCTCCTCCTCCTCCTCCTCCTCCTCCTCCTCCTCCTCCTCCTCCTCCTCCTCTTCCTCTCCTCTCCCTCCCTCCTCCCTCCCCCTCCCCGTAATCTTCTCCTCCTCCTCCTCCTCCACCTCCTCCTCCTCGTCCTCCTCCTCCTCCCATGTTCGTCATCGTCATCGTCATCGTCATCGCTTCCTCCTCCCATGGTCGCCATCGTCATTGTCATGGTCAGCGCCATACCAGGCGTACATACATCACCGTCGTCCTCTTCCTCCTCCTCTTCCTCCTCATCCTCCTCCGCCTCCTGTCGCCAGAAAGAAGCCAACTGCCTTGGCATAAACGGCCGGGGGCCCGCGCAGTGGGCTACTGTCTCGCACCTGGGTCTGTCGGGCGTCATCACTGCCAGTGCCGTTTCTGTGTGCCAGGGGGTTCTCGTCTGCGAGAGCTGCGGCAACTGCTGTGTCGGGGTCCCCGTGAAGTTGGCTGGGCCGTGCCCTCCAATTTCGGCGATTGGGAGGTCCAAGTCCGAGAGGGATCGACAAGGGGCTGCCACCCAAACGTTGAACGCAATTCCCTTGTTGACTGTGCGAGGCCGGCCCGCAGGGAGCCCATCAGAGGCAAAGTCGAGCAGGTCCATCCTCGTGGTGTGGGGTTATATGGCTGCCGTCATCGTGCGAGCCTGCCCCCAGCCATCAGACGATGAGCAGGGAGAAGACTCGACGATCAAGGTGCCTGACGGTTGGGGGATGCGGGGGCCTCCAGGGGCATCCTCCTCGAACTGGCTGGATTCGCGTCTAGATTCTGGTTGGAACGAGCCCCTTGCAGAGTCTTCGCAGGTCCTGGGGGCGAGGTTCGAAGGGGGAGTGGCTTTTGCTGCCCCCTCCGCGCCCCACGAAAGCCGCGCAGCAAAAGTCACTCTCACGCACAGGGTCACTCGCACGTGCCCGGGTGAATGTGACGAGAGGTGCAACTTTTGAATAACCTAGCAGCCCTGCTTGGAGGCGGCCAGGCGGTCTGAACTGGTTGATGCCCCAGAAACTCGGTCAGTTTGGGGGGGATGGGCCCAAATGCGCTCCGGATCGGTCTCGGGTCTCCTCCTAGGGTCCATCTGCCCCAGAGGCTCTGTTAACGGCCCCGGGGCCCCGAAGACGGTTCCTATAGTGGCCGAAAATAGCCAAAACGACTTCTCGAACCCAGAACCTTTGCGTGAGAGTGACCTTTGCTGGACCCTGCCCTCTGCGTGCGCATATGGTCACGCACCGCACAGTCACGAACCCTTCGAACCTCGCCCTCTGCGTGCGCATAGAGGACATGGGGACCTTTGAGGGCATGCGAACCTGCTGGACTGGCCAAAACGACTTCTCGAACCTGCCCGCCCTTCCTGCTGGACCCAAACCAGCGTTGGGCCACCCCCGGCCACCCGACGACTCACGCGCCCTGCGAGCTCTGAGCTCTGCCGCTCGGCACCCGCCGCGCTCGGCCGGGGCCCTCGGCGGCGAGGCCGGGCAGCGGATGCAGAGCGTCCCCGAGAACGCGTGGGTGGCTGAGGCACCTCTGCGTACACATACTTACCCTCCTCCTCCTCCTCCTCCTCCTCCTCCTCCTCCTCCTCCTCCTCCTCCTCCTCCTCCTCCTCCTCCTCCTCTCTTCTGCGTACACATTATCCTCCTCCTCCTCCTCCTCCTCCTCCTCCTCCTCCTCCTCCTCCTCCTCCTGCGTACAGTGAAGCCTTCCAACTGGGGTCCGAGCAGATGTGGTCGGGGGACCGCGCCACATCGCCCGTGCTTCGGCGATGCATCGCCGACGTCGGCGACGCATCGGCAACGTCGGCGTGGCGGAAATCTGGCATCGCATCGAGCCGCATCGTCGATGCGTCGGCGATGCGGCTCGATCCTCCGACCCCGTCTGCTCCGACCCCATCTGGGAGGACCAGAAGGTCCCCCTCCTGCTCTCGGGTCAGGCGAGGATGGGCAGACGTCTCCGGACCCCACAGGTTCTCCTCCGCCTCGATGTCGGATCTCCCAAGCTGGAGGAGATCGAGGTCCTTCAGCCGTTCCTGGACTCTCCTCCTCGGGCCCTCGGGATGCCTCGGCGGCCTGCGGGGACCCCTGGAGCGGCCGTGAGACAGCGGCCACGGCGGGCGTCTTTGCACGGCGGGCTGGTACCGAGGCAGCGCGGACCAGGTCGGACCCACGTTCGAGCCCACTCGGCCGCCGAATGGGTCCGATTCCCGCCGGCACCTCGACACACGCATCCTTCTCCTGGGAGCATCCTTCCGACCCTCCTAGAATCCCCTGGGGTCTCCAGAGGCCACTCGGGAACTCAAGCACGGCCCAAGAAGCCCTGAGATCTTCGAACAGCGGAGTAAAACCCCGCACCCACCTCGTCCACCCTCCTTGTGCTCGTTCTCGTTCTTTCTCTTCGTCGTCGTCCTCCTCCTCCTCTCCCTCCTCCTCCCTCCTCCTCCTCCTCCTCCTCCTCCTCCTCCTGCTCCTCCTCCTGCTCCTCCTCCCCCTCGTCCCCCAGGCGAGGCAGCGTCGTGCGAGCCTTCTTGCAGCGCTGTAGAGTCGCGCGATTCTGCGCCTCGCAGTTGAGGATCGCCTCGGGGATCATAGCACAATCAATATGCACCACGCTCGACGCCATTGTCGTCGACGCCGTCTTCGATAGCCGAATATAAAAACGTGGCTTCTTTACATGTGATGAGGAATGTGAGAACAGACGTCAGCAACCGTGTCGTCAACAAGACGTGAAACATATGATACTGGAGAAAAGAACCCCAAGAAGGGCTATAGGGCTATGGGGCAATTGGGCTATAGGGCGATGGGGCTACGGGGCTATGAAACTATAGGGCTATAGGGCCGTACGGCTATAGGCCTACAGGAATGTAGGGCTATAGGGCCATAGGGCTATAGGGCTGTAGGGCTATATGGCTATGGGGCTATGCGGCTCTGGTGCTATGGGCCTATAGGGGTATAGGGCCATTGGGCTATGAGTCCATAGGGCTATGGGGCTATAAGGCTATAGGACCATAGGGCTATAGGGATACGAAGCTATGAGGCTATAGGTCTATAGCCATACACATCTGTGTATATACACACATGTATATATAAATACAGCTAGAGGGCAATAGGGCTATAGGGCTCTACGGCTATAGGGCTATGTATAGGGCTATGGGGCACCCGGGTGCACCCGGGCGGGCCGCCGAAATCGGCGACCCATCTCTTGGGCACCTGGGCACCCGGGCGGGCCGCCAAAATCGGCGACGCGGCTGACCAACCATTTGAATCCGCTAGGACCCCTACAGAGGCTACAAATGCAAGCTCTGATTGGGAAATTAAT